TGCCAGTCATCGCACTGTCAGAATTATGCCTGTTTTGTCCTGTGGCCGAAGAAACGCTGGTTTGGCCTTCCCAAATTCCCCTCGCCATCGGCCCAATTTGACCCGGGAAATCTGATGGCGTCAGGATCATCGGAGCGCCGTCAATGACGGCCAGAGTCGGCCTAAGGCTCGCGAGTCAATCGTTCAGTCCTGGAGCGCGGCCAACGAGCCGACGCGGGACGCAGCAGTCACTGGGAACGGGGCCCTTCAGGGGGCTTTCTGGATAATCCTGCAGGATGAGGTTTCAGATGTGGTCTGGTGAATCCTGGGTGCGGTCAGTTAGATCTGCAGAGATTTTACGATGCCATCGAATGGGCAGCGCTCATGCGCTGCGCCTTGCGGCTTGGAGTTCTGCCAGCTGTTCTGCATTTGAAGCTGCTAGTATGTGTTAGTCCCCGCACCCCATGGCAGAATTATGCGCTTGCTTCGTTATTCAAGGTGTTTGCTCTGGTACACGCTTCGCTCGATGCGCGGTGTATTTCGCATTGCAAAGCATCGCGAAGGTGCATCCTTACATGTCCGCGCGCATGTGGATCGGCAAATTGTCGCAGCGCTGCGCAGGTCCAGGGCCAGTGTCAGGAAACCGTTTTACCAGGGGCTCCCAGACACATGCCAAGCTCTTTCGAGTGCCGGGCTTCATGTCCCACCGAAGTTAGTCATCGTTTGCTCGCTGATTCTAGATGCCCGCTTCGTAGCGGAAGAGCGTTCGCGCGCTGGTTTTCCTGTCAAGGCCGCTGGCCAGGCAGGGCATGTGAGCTGACGTCGGAGGAGGGGGGAGACATGCGAGGGGGTCCAGGACGACGCGGGCTGCTAATTGTTAAGCCTTGCGTTCTAAAGCACTTTGCGTCGCCAGGGCAAGTCGAAATTATGCCGCGACAGCACTGCTCGAACGAGTAGGTGCTATGTCTGCGCAGCTCCGTGCTCGCGAGGTTCACCGGGCACCTGGGTCAGCGGCGATTCGTTGTCGCAGGCAAATGGGGGCAGTATGTGGATCAGGCAAACGAGGCAGGTGCCTCGCCACCTTGCTTGACTTGCGAGCTCCAGGAGGCGACCCGTCATTGCATTGCCCTCGCAAGAGTTTGTTCTGGCTGCGCAACTGGTTATCGACCCCTTTGGTGCGCCCAGGAGTTCGTCGGGTCTGGCTTAAGTCGTCAGCTAATATGTTGCCCTAGTTTCTCGTTGTCGTCGCATGCGTGGGCCCGCGGATGCTACGATGCGTTATGTACTGGGGCCCGCTGGATCCTAATTCCTGGAATGCCCCTTTGGATTCTCGTGGAAATTTGGGCGCTTGGAAGTTTCCTGAAGACAGGCTCTCGGGGAACTTCATTTTGGATTCTCCAGCGCCAGTCCTGCGTGGCATTGACCTTTCCATCCGCGCCAGCTTGCGGCGGCAGCCGTCGCGGCGCGGGTGCGGGGGGGCGCGCAGGACGGCATTGCCAAGTCTTCCTATCGGCGGCCGTTGGCACATTTAAAGGTAGTTTCACAGGGCGAGCGTTGGAATGAGCCGGTGGCCACCATGTCGGTTGGAGGTCATTGGCCCAGGGGTCGCGCTGAAGTTGTTGACGGGTCCTTGCATGACCTGCGCCCAAGGTGCAAGGAGTGCTCGGAGACGGTTTTCCACAGGCGTTGGGAATGCAAAGACAGCGTTGGGGCTGCAGAACAGCGTTGGGCGCGTGAACAGTATGATTGCCGGATCGCTGAAGCTACGCCCCAAGCCGAGTCCGAGTCAGCCTTTTGCTAACGAGGCCTGTCGCCGCCCAAAGGCGCAGCCTTGCTTCCACCGCAGTGCAGCGAAGGATGGTGGATAACTGGATGCAGCGCCGTTTAAAAGAGACTTCTCTCGGTCGCGGCGCGGAGCCCGAGCCGCCGCTGACGTTTGGGGGCGCGTCGGGGGGGGGATTGCAGGTGACAGCAGGTTCCGACGCGTGGGACTTGTGGTCGCGTCTTTCTCTTCCTGACTTCCAGCTGCAGCGCGGGCCTCTATTTCTGGAGGCCGTCCAGGTGACAGGCTGTCGGTTCCCAGAGGTGAGTTGCTGGCTTTCGAGCTGGCATTTCGAGCGTCGACGGGTTTCGTTGTGCGAGCGACTGACAGCGAGTTTGTGATTTCTGGATTCTGCGGCCAGAAATTTCTGAACCCCTCGGGAGTTGACGCTGGCTTATGGCTGAAAGTCGGGACCCACATGCACTCTGGAGTTGGTCAAGTTTCGGTGCTCCCCGTGAATTCGAACCTGGGCAAGTCACCTCAGGTCACTCTGGAAGAAGGAATTCCGCCCGAGCCTGCGGCGGGCAACATCGCGGCTAGCCATCTTGCCACTCAGGCGGCCGCCCGCGCTTAGGTTCCGCAGGGAGCGAGGCGCAATGCCCTCGAGCAGGAGCGCCACGCCTGGCTGGCGAAGCGCCGCCAGCTGCGTTCGTCCCTGGGCGCCATGCAGGCCGAGGAGCGGGGGGAAGGAGGCAGGAAGGCTGGATCCTCTCGGACCCGTGCTCGGCCCTCGCCCCCAGCGCGGCGCCCGCCTTCTATTCTGTTCGGAGCACAAGCTTGATGATTCTCGAAAATTATGTCTCAGGTGTTTCGGGCTGGCCACAGCTGCGACCCTCAATGAGCGGCATAATTCTCACTGTTTTACCCAATCCCTCCTGAATGATAAGTTCATGGCTCTTCTTGTGGGGGGTCGGCTCCACGTCGGGGTGGGTGGGCGCATGCTTCTCACAACGTGAGGCTCCAGAGAGCTCATAGTGCTTGGTTTTGTTTAGGGTGTGGCTTCTACGCTCATGTCTCCATGCGCGGGCTAGAGAAATCATGCTCTGAACGGATCGAGCCGCGCGGGCGAGTTTATTTCAATCGTCTGGATGCTGGGCTTTGGCCCAAAGTTCTGAGCCAAGCTGAGCAGAGGTCTCGATGTCGTCTTTGAATTTCTCGAACTACTACGTGGGATCGCCTGTTCCTGTTCCTGTTCCTCTGCAGGATTCCTGGGGATTCCAGAAGGATTTTCCGGATTCTGGAGGACTCATGAGGAACTTAAGGACTCCTCAGGATTGCTAAGCATTCTTGCGGGTTCGTCAAGATACTGGGGGGATCCGAGGAATTCCTCCAGTTTGGAGTAGTTCCTGCGGACTCGTCTGAGGGTTCCTGAGGACCCTTGAGGAGTCCTGAAGAACAGCTCTTCAGGGTTCCTTCGGAAGGCTCATGCGTCCGCAAGATATTGCAGGATGCCGACGGGTTCCCAAGTATTGCTTAAGACCCCCTTCCCAAGATCCCAAAGGATTCTTTAGGACTGCTCTGGGTTCCTTCGCATTCTCAGGACCCCGCAGGATTTGTGTGAATTCCTGTGGGTTCCGTCGGATTCCGCCAGGATCTTTAGGCGTCGTTAAGAATCAGTTGGATTCCCTGCGATTCCTGAGCGCAGCGCAGGACTCACGAATTCTTCAAGATGCCTGGACAGGAGCTTCGCTGATGACGAGATTTGTTCAGGCTGCAGTAGTACTGTTGTCAGTTATTCGTGCGCAGGCGCAGAGCCAGAAGCGTGAACCGAGCAGGATTGCTGGATTGCTGGGTTGTTTTTTTTGGGAGGGTGCGGAGGAGTGTGCCGCTAGGTCCGTGGTCGTCTCTTAAGGACAGCCACGGCAGGTGCGGCCAAGTGAACGGGCCACAAAGTCCAGCGTCGACCTTGTTGGTGTGTTGTTGATTGTCGTTGTTTGTCGTTGTTGTCATCTGCTTCGCCCGTGGCGGGCTTTTGCAAATGTGCTTTCAAGCCCTGCAGGCTGCCGATGGCTCTCGCCCCCCAAACTCTTATCCGCAACTGCGGGTGCGAAGTACGTTGCAGTCTTAGTCTAATCATATGTACATTTCTCATACAAGCATACGCAATATTGTTGTACACATTCTGCTGCAGTAATGTTCTGTGAGCCGGTAGAAAGAACAACCAAGATGTAGTTGTGGAGTGAATCTCGGATTTGGTCTTCCACCGACGCGAGAATCCCGCAGTGGCGAAGACCGTCATGCGTTACGTCGCGTGAGTTGTTCCAGGAACGCCAGATCACCGAATAACTCGAGCATGAACGCGGGCCATAATTTTAGTTTCCCGACACGGCGTGTCCTCAAGGGTTTTATAAGACGTAGGGAAAAATAGTATGCCCCCGTTGGCCGCTCCGGTGGCCAGGGGCCCGATGATCGTGGCACGTGGCCTTTGGCTGGTGGTCTATGCGTGGTCCGTGGCCTGTGGGTGGTCCGCTTTCCTTGGCCGGTGCGTGGCCCATGCCGTGGTCCGTTACGTGTGACCCGTGGTTGGTGGCTCATGTTCTGTGACCCGTCATTTGTGTTCGATGACTTGGTTCAAGCACCAGTCAATTTAGAGGTCTGTAGCTCTTGGGGCGTCCCCATGAGTCAGGGGACGTGGTTCGTGAGTCGTGAGCCGTGGCTCGCGGTCCATTGCCAGTTCCTGTGGTTCGCGGCCCCTGGTCTGTGGCCTGTGACCCATGGCCCAGGACCTTGAGCTTTTCAGTGGCCCGTGGCCTGCCGTTCGTGGCCCCTGGTCAGCGGTCCGAGGTCCAAGGCCTATAGATGGCACGTGGCCCGTGGCCGCGGGTGGCCCGTGGTCCGTGGTCTCTGGCCCATGGGCGGGCCGTGGTCCCCAGCCCGTGGTTCTCGGCCGGTGGGTGGCCCCTGGTCTGTAGCTTATCGTCCCATGGTCCTTGATCACAAACTGGTTGTTTAGGGTCTCTAGACTTGGTGAAGTCGTGTACCTGCTTCTCCAGAGCGATTGTAAACTCTCCAGAACGATTGTCGACATTCTTCCACAGATCTGCTACTGCCTTGAATGTTGTGAGGGCTCGTTGCCGCTGCGTGCCAGTTTCTCTAGCATTGCTTTTGGTAGCCATGCTTGGGTTCCGCAGGTACTCTTTTTTGCCCAGTCTGGTATGATGACTCTACGCTGCTATGCTTCGTGTGCGTGCCCCGTCAGGCGACGACGAAAGGGCTTGGCTATCGCTTGAGCACGCAGTTGAACGACAAGGACGTTGCCCACCGAACATCTACCCATGCATAGGGCAGCCGTGGTATAGCATGGTGCAGGGGACGGCATGCACGCTACAGTGCTTACACGTAGCGATTGGTTGGAGCGGCCTGCGAAGAGGGAGAAAAGACATGTGGCACTGTGAGTGCAAGAGTGGGCTGGGTGGCTCCTGGTGTCAGAGCCATCAGATTGGAGAGGACGGCGACGAGCACGCTGAGTGGGGCACGATCGTGACGGGCACCGACCAAGGGCAGGGGTGGCTGAAGGTTTTGACTTCTCTCTGTCTCATCTATCCCAAGGATCACCACATTCTTTCTTTTGGCTCGTTTACGGCCTTCTCAAGCCCTGAAGTATTTTCTCCCGCATGTTTTGTGTTCCAGGCAAGTTGCATAGCTCAGTCTGGCAATGACTGCAAGAGCACATATGTATGCCCGTGTCTTTTCCAGCTGCGAATACATTTCGGGATCATTCGTGCACCGCGTGCGGTGCGTTAAAATCAATGTTCCCAGGAAGGTGTGCCGCTATATAACTATTGGTTGTGCAAGGGCGGGGGCCGAGAAAGACAACAAGGGTAAGGAATCACACGGGACACTGTGCAGTATGGTTCCTGACCCACTGAATGGCACACCTCGGGCGTTTCCATGTCACCCCCAGTTCCGCCCTCCTCACCACCAGGATCTCCATGCCAGATCCCCAGAAACGCCCGTACAGTTACCAGTGAGCACACACGGTACATTTCATGCAGGCTATAGCCTAAGCGTGCGCGAAGCGCTCGCCTGGTTCTTGTATTCAGGTATACGAGCCCAGTGTATAGGCTGTGCGACTAAACATAGTGGCTTTTGGCCCATTCCGCCACCTTGCCCGGGTTGTAGGTCGGAAGCCTCTCAGATGTCTGTGGGGATATCGTGGGAGGCCTCTCGGAAGTTGCTTGGAGGCGGTTTTGGGGGTGTTGGGGGCCTCTCGGGGGCGTCTTGGGGGCTTCTTGGGGTCCGATTTGGGCCTCTTGGGGCTCTCCTGGAGCTTCTAGGCAGCCTCTTGTTGACCTGCTGGCGGTCTCGGGGGTCACCTTGGGGCGGAGGGCTCGAAACGTCTGTTCTTTCTCCCCCTCTGGAGTATCTCTTTTGGGCCCTCTTGGGCCGTCTTGGGAGCCTCTTGGACCGTCTTGGGGCCCTCTTGGCCGCCTTCGTTGACGAACTCTGCGGAAGGTACTGGCGCTCCTCTTTTTCTTTCTCCTGTCACATTCTCCCCCCATCCTTATCCTCGTGATCATTCTCATCATTATCCTCCTCTTCATCTTCTTCCCCCTCTCGTCTCCTCTCCTCTCCCAATGTCGAGTCCAAGGTTTGGCAGCTTTTCTCAACCATCCCGTGGTGTTGGGTCTTCGATTTGAAGAGACAGCGCCCCGCCTCAGCTGACCTCCCACCTCGCTCCTCCCATCCGTGCATCTGCCCTCCGCATGTCCAGTTCGGCGCACCCATCACACATTCCGTGACCCCACTGGGGGGGTCTCAAACTAAGCCCCCAGGGAGGCGCGGGGGGGGGCCGCGGTCCCCCAGCCACCTCGGCACACCCCTCACACGAATCGTGGCCCAGTAGGGAGCTCCAACGAAGTTCAGGCACACCCCTCGCACGTTTCGTTGCCCCATTGGGAGCTCCGACCATGGCCCCGGGGGGGGGGGGGGGAAACCGCATGCGGTCCCCAGCCCATTTCGGTACACCTTTCACGGGGACCATGGCCCCATAGCATCGGGAGCTCCACCGAAGGCCTCAGCGGCAGGGTCCGCATGCGGTTCCCGCGCCAATTTCGGCACACCCTTCACGGGGACCATGGCCCCATAGGGAGCTCCCTCGAAGGCCCCAGTGGCAGGGTCTGCATGCGTCCCCAAGCTATTGCGGCACACCCCTCACGAGGATCGTGGCCCATGGGGAGCTCCACCGAAGGCCTCAGCGGCAGGGTCCGCTTGCGTCCCCCAGCCATTTCGGCACACCTCTGACGAGGATCGTGGGCCCATAGGGAGCTCCACCGAAGGCATCGGTGCCAGGGTCCGCATGCGTTGCCCCGCCCATTTTGGCGCACCCCTCACGAGGACCGTGGCCCTAAGGGAGCTCTACCGAAGGCCTCAGTGGCACGGTCCCCATGCGTCCCCCCGCCCTTTTTGCCACGCCTCTCTCGATGATCGTGTCCGCAAAGGGAGCTCCACCGATAGTCCCAGTGGCAGGATTTGCACGGCACCGCCTTCGCCGGGACATGCGCCCCAATCCGTCCTTTTGCTCGTCCCCATCATTCTGTTCACTTGCTTCGAACACGTATTCCAGACTGCCTTCTGTTCGCTTGCTTCGAACACGTATTCCAGACGGGGGGGCGCCATTGCCAGGCAATCTTTGACTGATTTATCTCCTGCTGAAGTGGATGTAGTTTTTGTTATTGCAGGAGGGCATAAGGCAGGAACGCCGAGAGACGCCAGCGCAGAGCGTAGACATCACATAATATTGTCATCACTCACACGTGTGGCCAACCTGCCAAGGCTAAGGAGCATTAGTATCAACACCTTCCCCTCCTCGTCCTCCTCATCTCTCCGCCCCTCGGTGCTCTTCTCTTTCCCTTTCTCTCTAGCTCTCTCTCTCTCTTTCTCTCCGTTTCCCTACATTTCCCCCTTTTGAAGGCGGGGGACCTGTCCGAGGGAGCGTCGGATGCGGGGAAAGGTTTGAACCCCCACTGCAAGTTTGCATGGACGACGGGCTCTGGCTTCAGACACCAGGAGGTAGCCAGGTTCGCGCGCGCCGCGTCGATTTGGCGGCGACGCCGGCGCGTGCGCTCAAGGTTGCAGGCGACAGGCGACCAGGACCAAGGCAGCCTTGAAGGATTTCCGATTTCTTGAACGGTCGACGCGGTGCTAGAACAGAAGGTCCACGCCGACACGGCAGGAAGCAGCCGCGATGCCATGGTGCCGGATGGAGATGTGATGGGTTGTGGTGGGACATTTGTTCCTTGGCACACAGAAGCAGGCCCGTGCTGTGCGGAGCGCGTGGGCCGGAGCGATCGCCGCACTGCCACGTGGCACAGCCGACGTGGATGGGGCGCCCAGACAGGGGGCGAGGGGTTCGGCATGCTGCCTCGGCTCTGGGGTCCCAGGGCCCTGCGGTCTCCGCGCCTTCTGCGCAGCTGCTCGCTCAGGTGCCTCCACGGCCTCTCCAGAGACCCCGCCCGGCATCTGCAGACTCACAGAGAGCACCTGACTGGGGCAGTGGATCTGGAGGAGTTGGGGTCTCTGGGACTGCAGACGGGCGTGCGAGGTGGGGCCGCGGTACCTCCCGTTCTCCCTGGGCGGCAAGTCCGTGCTGATCAGCCAGACGTTCGACCTCGGCGATTGAGCGGGGGCCACGCGGCGTGCCCCTTCCTGTACAGTTCGCGGCCGCCTCGCCAAGGCCTTGCTCGCCTCACCTCCGCACCCCGCTCGCGTTGTGACCAGCTGGGGGCGGGCAAGCAGACGGCGCAGGCTTTGAGCCGGCTGAGACAGGTCCAGGGCAGCACGAGATCCCAGAGATGGCGCAGCCTGAGCAGGTCTCGCGGTGCTTGCCTGCTCCCAGCCGCCCCACCGTGACAGTAAGAACCCCGAGGGCATCGAGCATGCGGGTCCCGCCTACATGGGGCTGCACGCCCACAGCGCAAGCCCTCCAGACCCACCCCTCGGAGCGCGTGCATCTCACCACGGCGCGCGCGCGTACGCTTTTGTTGATTCGGCAGGCGGAGTTGCGGCGGCGCGCCTCAGAAGCACGGTGGCAGGTCAGCAAGGCTGAAACAGCGGTGCGAAGGGTCTGGCAGTCGCCCGATTCAGTGCAGGACAATCGGGCCAGCGACAAAGCAAGGGTAAGGAGGGACAGAGAGAAGGCGCGGAGCCAGAGCGATATACGGAGCCGATGAGCGGAGGGGCGGGTCGACGGACGGACGGGGGGCAGAGGGGTAAGCGAGAGGCAAAAGGAGGAGCAGCACGGAGGACACACAAGGGCAAGGAGGACACGACGAGAGGTAGAACCGCTCGCGCGCACACGCACATTCAACGAACACCACCTGTACTGAAACACCCTGCCAGCAGGTGCCCCCCTTGACTTTCTCAGGCTATGGCACTTCAGCGGGTACCCTCGAACATCCAAATCTGGCTTCTGCCAGTTTGCAAGAGGATGAAGGAGGCGGCGATGGCTGGGCAAGCGCTGGCGGTCTCCGAGTACGGCTGGATCCACAGGCATGTGAATAAGAAACGCTCTGGAGGCGGCGATCGTCAGGGCCCGCGGGGAGGCCAAGGCAGGGAGCCCACACCTGCGAGCCATCTTCCGCGGCCACCGGCTCGGCGTCCGCTGCCGTCTCCTGATAACCGTATTTATGGCGACGTGGCGCATGCTCCGGAAAGGCTCAGAGAAGGGCACTCTGCGCACTTGGACAAGGATGGAGGGGTGTTCCGGCAGAAGAGTGCACAGTCTCTTCAAGGGCCGCGGCTGGCAGGAGTGTGCTGCGTGGGAGTGGCGGCCACGGAAACCACTCTCTGCCCTCGCAGGGGAGGTGAACAGCGGTCCGATTGCAAGGGCCTCATTGAGCACGTGCTCGGAGAGTGCTGACGCGCCGATCTTTGCGGCTGGTGGCGAGCCCAGGGCCGCGTCGACTCTTCGGCTGTACAGGTTCGAGCAGCATGATGAGCGCCGCTGCAAGGCCGCGCGGCAACTCGGGGATGCAAGCACGAACGCGGCCACCGTTGTATCGGGAGCCTTTGCCTCGCTGGCACACCTGCAGGCGGAGAGGAGGAGGGACCTGCGGCAGGCGAACGATGCGAGGGGCGAGCGGTGTTGGAGACGCGTTGTGCTCGCTGCGGCCAGGACGTGGCGCCAGACTTTGAGCACGTGGTCTTGTCGCTGCACGGCGGCTAGCAAGCCCCTGGGCTCGCCGCAAGATGCGCTGCAGCGGAAGATGCGCTGCCGATCGGCCAGCCTCCTCTCGGCCTGCAGCGGAAGAAAGATGTTGACGCCGGTCTGATGTTGACGCCAGCCTGCTCTGGCGGGCTGTCCATATCCGAGGTTTGTTTGTGGACGAGCGGCATGCATGACGGCTGGCGGAACAGGCCGGCAATGCGCCCCGCGGGAGGATGGCGTCAGGGTGAGGAAGACGACGAGGATGGGGCGACGGCGCCGAGGACGAAAGAGATGACGAGGATGGCAGGGAGCGGCGCAGCCCACAAAGGCTGCCAGTAGCGGCGACATAATGAAGCATGTGTCCCTTCGGGGAGCTCAGTTTCTGCTAGATGAGGATGGTACACGAGGATGTCACGGAAATGTGGAGGAGCACATGCGTAGTGGAATTTGCATCCACGTGTGCGCTTGCAGACGGATCGATCAAGGCACAGCTACGCTCATAGCGTGCGAACGCTTTGCTTCTGAAGGTGCTCTACACGCATCTTCCTTTCTGCCCACGCGTCGGTCCTATAGGATGCACGGTTTACTTGACTTGACTTGTGTGCGCTTGCATGATGTTGTAGTGTGCGTGATCAGCACGCCTCCATCTCTTACCGCTGGCATGGGCGGTAGGTATCCGCGAGAATCCGAGCGCCTGCAGGAGCCGTGGCGGTTCAGGGTTGGACGCGAAATTCCGTGTGCTGATCTTCTGGCCCCCGTGCCCCCCAGGCTTTGCTGGCCGACCCTGCGTGAGAGAGCCCGCCACGTGTTCTCGGGGGTGCTTCAGCCAAGCCGCCTGCGGGGTTGGGCCCTCGAGTTCTCGGCCCTGCCGCTGTGTGTCCGCATCCTGCCGGGCACGCCCTCTCCTCCGCGGCCTTCCCCCCGCGGGGAGCCAGCGGTGGGCTCGGGCACACGTCGGGCCCACACCGAGAACGGCCCGCCCCTGACGCCCCAGTGCCCCCTCCCCGCTTGGTGGGGAGCCCCCGCTCTGAGGCGCGTGCGTGCCCCAGTCCCGCACTCAGGATCGCCCGCCCTTCCTGTGCGTCCCACGCTCCCTGCACATGTTACGGGGCATCGTCGGACCGATCCCCGTCCCCACCTGGGGCCATGGTAATTAGCTCAGCCCCGCCAGGTCAACGGTCCAGGCGGGGATAGGTCCCGCGAGACCCGAAGGGAACAGCGCAGTTATCTCGCCACCCGGGGGGGGGGGGAGTCGGCCAGTGGGGCCAAGGCCAAGCCGGTGGGGATAGGGATCAGTTGAACGATGCTCGCGCATCCACAGGCGACCCGATCCGAGGCCCTGCCGGGACGCGGGCGCGTGCCGGGCCAACGACCGGGCGTGCCCGCCCCTCGCGAACTTCCACCCCTCTTCCGCCCCGCTTCTTGTGTCGGGCCTTCGTTTCTCAACACGCTTTTAAACACAAGTGCGCCATGCCCACACTCCGCCCGCCGCGTCCCCCACCCGCTTCCCTTTCAGTGGCACTCACTGTGCGGGCTCTCCACACGTCCCAGCGGGGTGCGTGCGCGCATTGGGAGTCTGACCTATTTCTCCTCCTCCCACTTTCGTCTCCGTCCTCCTGGGCGCTCGACCTTGATCGCATTGATGTCACGGATCCGTCCTCCTTAGCCTCTTCTCCCCCATCCGTTTCCTCATCAGCCTCCTTTCCTTATCTGGCTGCGCCTGAGTGCGAGGCTTCCCGGATCACTTCTCGGCAACGTTTCATGGCCCCGTGAAGAGTGTGATCGTAGAGACACCTCGCACGCAGTAGAAGCCCTAATCTCTCTCTCTCTCTCTCCCTCTCTCCCTTCCTATCCAGGACGCTCTCTGCGCCCGCCTACCTTCCAGCGCGAAAGAGGCTTTTGGTAGGGAAGAGGATACCCTGACGCTCAAAGGCGGATGGGTCAACCATCGGGGCCAGGGTAACCGCACAAGAACAGAAGGCAAGCTCGCATGACACAGTCGTATGTCATGAGGCTCCTCCTCTCTCGGCGACCTCGAGGCGTGCGTAAGCGCCGTCTCCAGTTGATTGGCCTCATGTTCGCGCGGTTACCTGGCCCGCGACAACTTGTAAGAGCAGCCACGTAGTCGTGCAGCCTCCTTGGTGCGCGAGCCAGCAGTGGCAGAGTGGCAAAAGTAAGCTCGCTGACAGGTCGCACGCCACATCGCGATCCTCTCGGCATAGTGCGCCTGCCTAGCTGCGTCTCGTCGTCCTGCCACTCGTCGTTCTCGCTCATGCTGGCGGCTGTCTGTTCGGCCGCGCGCCCTGGGGGTTCTGGAGAGACCAGAAGGGATTTGCAGGTGTTTTGCGCGACACTGACACCGAGAAATGAATATCACATAGCCCCACGCAGAGCTGGATTTGCGTTGTACAATTTGATATAAGGGGGGCTTCAGCATTAAGCTGTGCACCTCTGGGGTCAGGGGGCGCTCTGGGCGCCCGGGTGAGGACGTGCTGAGGGGGGGTTGAAGGCAACGCGGAGGTGGAACGGGATGGGGTGGGCCCCAGGGGCGAAGGAGGCGGGGGCGGGCTGCGGGGACGAGTGGTGGGGAAGGACGAGTGGTGTGTGTGTGTGTGTGCTTGTCTGTCTGTCTGCCTGTCTGTCTGCCTGCGTGAGTGTGTTTGAGCGTGTGTGCGTGTGTGTGTGTGTGTGTGTGTGTGTGTGTGTGTGTGTGTGTGTGTGTGTGTGTGTGTGTGTGTGCGTGCGCGTGTGTGTGTGTGTGTGTGTGTCTGTGTAGGGGGGGCGGGCAGCGGGATGAAGTGGGGCAACGGGCAGCTGGGGTGGTGTGTGTGTGTGTGTGTGCGGGGGGCGGGCAGTGGGATGAAGGGGGGCGACGGGCAGCTGGGGTGGACTGTTCTTATCTTGGTTGCGCATACTCATGGGTAACGATATGCGTCATGTTTCTGGAGAGAGCCGAATATGAGAAAGTTTACGCCATCGACGATCACCAACGCACGCAATGTCAAAGACGCCTACGGCGACCCACCGCCGCCCCCTGCCTTTTGGAAGCTCCTGTGTGGCTAATCGTCGGGCCGAAGTATTGCCAAGCTATTGTGCTACGTGTTCCCCCAGCCGTTGTGGAAACCCTTGGGGGGCGCCTCTGGGCGGAAAGGAGAAGAGGAGGAGGAGGAGAGAGAGAGAGGAGAATGAGGAAGAGGAGGAAAATAATGCCTCTTGGGGGCCTTTTGGGATTCTCTGGGGGCCTCTTGAGGGCTTTGGTCCGCACGTGCCCCCAGGGGCGCCCCCGCGCGCGCGCGGATCAGAACAGGGAGCAGCAGCAACTACACCCTTACCTGATGCTACTTGCCTGCAGAAACTAGCACGCTGTTGGCCCGATGGCCAGCGAATTGCCTTCGCAAGGTCAGGGAGCCATGCCGAATCTTGCATGAGTGCAAGGGTGATGCAATGGAGTATCATTGCGCCCTCTGGCACGA